TGGACGGCCACTCTTTACAATACATTTATGTTAGTGGTTAGAGGAGCCATTGCACGAAAAACTAAAGTGTTGGGATGTTCTTCATGATATTTCGGCAGGGCCCGTTTGATAAACCCCGTGACGTTTACAAGTTATGTGAGGTAATACTTGCAGAAGCAATTTTGTTTGAATAACTTCACTTTGTAGCATGGTGGTCAAGCGAATTTGATAGCCACGAAAATGCAATCTTTTGTCGACCCCCATGTTTCACCAATTAACGATATTGTTACGGTTAGTACGCAATCACATAATTGGGTTATACAAAGAACGACGAAGTAGCTGCGGGGACAAGGAAGAGGAAGTTGGTCGTAAATAAAAGACCGAAATGACAAGACGTGGTTGCCGTGTCCTCCAAGTCCTTTCACACCCTATTAATTGGTGGAGATGAAGCGACCCCCACCTCAAGGCTGAGAATCCGACACGGAGCTCCGATCAGGTAATCACCGGGGTCTACAGCCACTCTCGGGCTCAAACAGGGGGGCTATGTTGCATGTTTTGGACTCCCAGGAGACTAGGGAGAAGGAAGTGACGTAGGTGTGAATGAACGTATCTTAGCAGCACCCGCAGCGCCACGCAACGCGTCATAAGCGACTACACCAATCAACATCCAAAAAGCGTTGTTGACGTCACTTCCTTTTTCCTAGACTCATGGGAGTCCAAAACGTGAAACATAGCCCCCCAGCGTATCATCCCACACCATGCCGAATCCACCCGTCACAACGTCATCGACCGTCACATGCCGTCAACGTAATCCTCCATTGTTTGCTGGCACAGCGACCCAAGATGTCGTCGAATGGCTCCGCGACTATGACCGGGCGAGCGCGCACAATCGCTGCGATGATACGCTTAAACTTGCTAACGTTAATTTCTACCTCAAAGACTCGGCGATGATCTGGTACTATAACAACGAAGACGCTTTCACCTCCTGGGGTCAATTCAAGGAGAAGCTTCTGGAAGTTTTTGGACTTTCTACGCACCGCAGACATGTGGCCGAAGGGCGTCTCGCTTACCGTGCCCAAAGTCCCGACGAGGACTGCACCGTTTATTTTGAGGACGTACTTGCTCTCTGTAAACTCGCCAATCCCACCATGCGAGAGGCAGACAAGGCTGGCCATATACTCGAAGGAATATCAGAAGACGGGTTCCAATACCTCATGGCTCCTGACTCCCGCACCGTCGAGATCATCATAGAAGCATGCCGTCGCCTCAACAAGAACAAAACATCCAGGATTCTAGCAACCCCTCAATGAGGTTACCCTCGCTACCCTCGCGACTGCCAATCCCCGTCACTGAAACTATACGCACAGTCATCCGTGACGTCATGAAGGAAGAGCTTCGGATTATGTTTCCCGACAGATCCACATTACTCGAGGAAACAACTGCAGCGACGCGTATGTCTTTAAGGAACGCCCTTCGAAAAGAGGTTCATTGCGTGACTCCGTCTCTTCTTTATCATCCATGGTTGATAAAAAAAAAACTGCAGGGGCATTATCAAGGGCTACTATTAGATTTATTGCAACGATACTCTTCAGGCTTTGACATTGAAGGTGGCCCATTGGGTTTAACAACCTCTGTAAAGCATCGAATTGATACCGGCGATGCTTCACCAGTTCGACACACACCTTACCGCGCCTCTCCTTCAAATCGAGCCTTAATTGATCAGCATGTTAAAGACATGCTCCAATAGAACATAGTTGTACCATCATCAAGTCCCTGGTCCTCCCTCACCTGTAGTTCTGATCATGAAAAAAGATGGGTCGTGGAGGTTTTGCGTAGATTACAGACGCCTCAATAATGTGATAAAAAAAGACGTGTATCCTCTACCACGAATCGACGACGTTTTATACAGCTTACAAGGATCCGAATATTTTTCTTCTTTAGACCTTCGATCCGGATATTGGCAGACAATACATGACCAAGATTAAGAAAAAACAGATTTCATAACTACCAACGGGCTCTATGAATTCAAAGTCCTTTCGTTTGGTTTATGCAATGCTTCTGTCACGTTCGAGAGGATGATGGATGTTTTATTGAGGGGTTTAAAATGGCAAACATGCCTGTGCTATTTGGATGATGTTGTCATCTTCTCCGCGACATTTAAAGAGCACTCCTTACGATCGCAATTTATCCTGGAATGCATTAAGACACCGTCAGCGCAGGCGGCATTCGTCCTGAGCCCGACAAGATAATAGCTGTCTCGGAATTTCCCCGGCCATTCAACGTTAAACAATTGAAAAGATTTTGCGCCTCTGCTCATACTTCCGTGGCCTTATCCAAGACTTCTCTGGCCGTGCAGCACCTCTAAATTGCCTTCTCTCAATGGATACAGCATTCGAATGGACGGAAGATCAAGAGACCTCTTTCAAATCCTTAAAGCTGTCTCTGACCAATGATCAAATACTATACCATTTTAACCCCCGCTCTCCCACAGAAATACATTCAGACACAAGCGGATATGAAATTGGTGCTGTCCGCGTCCAGAAGAAACATGTCAAGAAACAGGTCATCGTGTATGCTAGCCGCACGCTTACTAGAGCGGAGGTAAACTACTCTACAACAGAGAAAGAGTGTTTGGCTATAATATGGGCCATTACCAAGTTTCGACCGTAACTATTTGGGCGATGCTTTCAAATAGTGACTGACCACCACGCTCTCTGCTGGTTGACAGACATAAAAGACCCATCAGGACGTCTCGCTAGATGGTCACTTCGTCTACAGGAGTATGATGTCGAAATAGTTCATAAGGCAGGCTATGCTCACCAAGATGCCGAAGCTTTCTCCCGCTGCCCTCTAAAACCCACCACCACCGATGATACGGATGCCACCGAGATCCTTGTTCAAGCCTTGTCCCTCCAAATGGACATCGCAACGGAATAACGTAACGATCCGAAACTGCGGAGTATCATCCGACTTTTACAGCATCCTTTGCCACAGAGCAGAGCAGCGAAAATGAAACCTATGTATGCAATTGTTGAGAGAGTTCCATATTGTCGCAATTATGAACCCGCAGGACAACTCCTGCTTCTCATGATCCGCGACATTTACGCTCTGATGTACTTCGTTCCCTTCATGATGATCCAACTGCCGAGCATTTGGATGTGTTTCGAACATACAACCGCGCCCGCTCTCGTTTTTTCTGGTTTGACTTATACAAGAGTGTCCACAGATACGTCACGTCATGTGAACTTTGGCAGCGCCGAAAAACACCTACCCTTGCTCCTGCGGGCTATCTGCAACCCATTCAGTCCCCTAGCCGCCCATTTGATATTGCTGAAATTGATCTCCTTGGCCCTTTTCCTGGGTCGACAGATAAAACACGATGGATAATCGTCGCCGTCGATCATTTGTCGCGATACGTAGAACCCCAGGCTCCCACGGCACCAAATGCAGAAGAGGTGGCCTCGTTTTTTCTCCACAATATTGTTCTGCGACACGGGTCCGCCAGAAAACTCGTGAGCGACCGAGGGCGCGTCTTTGTATCTACAGTCATTACGCACCTCGTTGCACAATCCATCGCACCACAACTGCCTACCACCCTCAAGCAAATGGGATGACTGAACGCTTTAATCGAACCCTCGCCTCGATGGTAGCAATGTACATTTCCAATAATCAAGACAACTGGGATAAACTTGTCCTGTTTGTTACTTATGCTTACAACACGACCATCCATGAAACTGCGCACTATTCTCCATTTTACTTAGTCTACGGTCGGGATGTAGTTACACCCCTAGACACGATTTTTCCAAGCGTTTCCGAACCACCATCTCACTACGTACAAGACGTTCTTCACCGGGTGGAAGAGTCCCGCCAAGTCGCGCAACACCTCACACTGGCTTCTCAACGGACACAGGTTATCCGTTATAACGACAAACACAGACAAGTTAACTACTCTGTCGGCAATCTTGTTTCAGTCTGGTCACCCGTTCGTGTTGTTGGACGTTCTGAAAAACTTCTCTCCGGTATTTTGGACCATACCGGATCACGCCGCAGACATCTGATGTCAACTACGATAAAGAACGTGTGACGCCTATTCCAGACGGTCGTTCACAGAACAAAGATATTGTCCATGTGTCTCGAATAAAACCATACACCGTGCGCTCCGATCACGACAACTATCTTCAACCCGTACCTTCTCCTTCTCCAGAGGAGAGGGGTAGTGTTACGGTTATACCGCAATCACATAATTTGGTTATACAAAGAACGACGAAGTAGCGGCGGGGATGAGGAAGAGGAAGTTGGTCGTAAATAAAAGACCGCACTGACAAGACCTGGTTGCCGTGTCTTCACTGTCCTTTCACACTCTATTAATATTCATAACAGCTCCCTTATCACCAGATGAATGTTTTCTTAATTTGCATAAATATATTCAATCCCGTGTAATAATAATATTGCAGTGGATTGGATTGGATAATGCTGGCTAAGGCCTTTCAAACGGGCGAGGCTATAGACGCTTTACACACGCGCCAAATTACAGCCGCCATTGCTGACCTTCTCTTGTCTTACCGAGATGCCGAGCAACTGAAATGGTAGTTGACGATCCTCTACAAAGTCCGATGCTTTAGAAAAGGACACAGTTGCATTTAATATGGCAATAACCTGTCCTGCTATGGTAATGATGAAGTGAAAGAGACGGAATAAGAGGACGCAAAAATTGAAGGTCAGTTATGGCGGCGTCCATGCACAGCTGCTGCAAAGCGTCTATACTACTGGATCTAGCCAGTACAAAAATTAAAAGCGTAAGCACGATTGCCGTGGCATCCCTTTGTTCTCAAAGTCCCCCCCCCCCCCCCCCCCAAGCCTTCTAGTCTGCTTTTTGTGACATCTACTCTCTTGCGAGCAGAGGCAGTCTCACAACGTCCATCTGTCGTCAGCACAACTGGCGCATTGTCGTTGCACGTTGTCTGATATTGTCTCTCCAAATTCAATCGTCCGAGCCCCAATGCATTGGCATAGCCACTCACATCTGGTGGAACGAGTGTCCTCAGCTCATAGCACTACATCGAGACGTGGAAGGCTGTTTCCTCATGCTGGCCGCGTACGGCGACTCGTAATATCCAGCCTCGTCGAGTACTTCATCCTGAAATGGCGTGTCCATAGTGCTCCACTGCGCGCCTTCTGGGCCACTTGTGGTGCCGTTGCTGGACCCGCTGGTTGTAAGTTGCAGACTGAACCGAAGCGTAAAGAGCACCGCTGAAAAATTATATCATTTAATATACCATTAAAAGTATGCAACCTATAACACGACTATAATGCGTATACTCATAATGTACAGCGAGCGTACTTTTTATAGCATAAGATTCCACATGAATGTGTAATCTACGCGTGAATTCGCGCTGCTGCGGTGGCGCTATTGTCGGCACGGCCCATGCGTAGACGCTTCGCCTAAAGAGAATCTGGTGTCTGAGAACGCGCAGCGCCCACACCTGGTGAGGGCTAGTGTGGGCAAACGCGGGCTTGTTTGTACACAGCGTGTTTGTCCATACTTTGATTGTCACTAATAGTTTTAATGTGAAGAGTCGAGCTGGGGTTGCACGTATACAACATATCAAAGATTACAGGAGTCCTCCTGTAATTTTGATATGTTGTCTACGTCTACTTAAGACTGCTTACATGTAGGAATGCGAAAGGCATTCCTAAGCTCAGCGCCATGTCTTCCTTTCGCAGTGGGGGAGCCTGATGTAACTGGCGGTGATATCAGACCCCCAAATGCGCAGGAGCGGCGCACTCGCCTGCTCCACGACTTACGTGACGATGCACCTGCGCTACTGTGCTTTCCTTTGTATTCTATTTCGGAGGCGAGTCTGCTTTGACCTCGAACGGCCTCTCCGGCTTCCGTGACGAAGCATCTGATATGACGCGTCGAAGCCAATGGGCTTTAGAGACCGTTTCCCACAGCGAATAGGAAAAGGGAAATGTAGGTGCCGTTTTTTGCTGCTACAGACACCGCCGGCTTTGCTCCATGCTTTCGCACTAAGAGAGCTCACAAGCGGAAAGTAATAAAAGAGAACACAGAGGACCACGCGCCGACGCCCAACTGATGTATCGTGAAAGAAAGAGGAAGACGAGGCATCAAAAGTAAAACAAAACAAAACATCGGTGCATGTATGTTTATACAGCCGGAAGATAGTCTGCCTCAGTGGGCATGTGGTGTCTCAGCTCAGCTTTAGATGGGCAATTTAGCTAGTGCGGCAGAACGGTTAGCCCGGCGTCCTTAATGTGCCTGACGCAGTAGTGATACACGAGCGTACGCCGGTACGATGCTCATGCAGATCTAAACGAAGAGGAGCGGGGTACCAAACGCAGGTTTCCTGGGTTCTACAGCGCTTGCTTTCCCTCTAAGTGCTGTTCTCCACGCTCCACAACAGGTGTGCCCTAGCCAACTTGGCCACCGAACCCCCCCCCCCCCCCATCCCTTCCCCTTACACACACACACACTAATGATATCAGCTGGATGGCGTGTGTTCATCATGTACGTCTGTGTGTTCCATTTATGATGCCTCGTCTTCCTTTTTCTTTCGAAATACATCCGTTGAAAGTCAGCCCTCGGTCCTACATGTTCTCTTCCGCTTCTTGTGTGCCCTGCTGGAATATGTTGTCTATAGCAGCTTAAAGAAACTCAGGGCGTTTCGAGTCAAGAGCATTTCATTATTGCGTCCTCATCAAACGATGAAAACGACAAAAAACGAATTGTGCAGCAAAAGAGCGATCGTAACAAGCGATGTGCTGTGTTTCTTAAGTTATCGCAGCTGACAACTTAAGAGAGGCAGGGTTAATGAGTTCCAATCATATTTTGAATGTGCCGCACCAAGTCAGACTACAATATCAGCCCATAACAACGACCAAGAACGCATTCAGAAGCAAGCAGCGCGAGCGCATACATTTTTTCAAAAGTAACTATAAAGCGTGTTACTTTTTGTGAAGTCCCCTTATAGTGGGTGTGTCTGACGTTCTATTATGTATCCGTCCTACGGGTGGCGCACTAAATCTTTAGAAAGAAAAGAGAGACTGCACATTTCGACGCATGTTGCAATTGCTTCGCCTAGAGGCAAAAATCCTGACCACAGTATTTGACTTGATCAATCGCGAAGTTCCTGTTTAGTTTTGATGAATCGTCAAACCTTTATTTGACTATCAAGATAAGCACTTGTGCTCGCTGTTGCTCGCAGAAAACAAAAAAACGATTCGACGTTCGGATCATGACAAGGGTATCTCTTATCTGCCACGCTCTTCATTCTCGGAAGCCTATCTTTTTAGGCGAAGCAAAAGAGTTTCCATAACACATTTCCCGACAGTGACATAAGGAGGGAGGGGCGCTCTTCTCTTAACTCGCGTTCTCCAGAAAAATGTGCGAAAGTTGGATCGTTCTAAGAACCAAACGTACGACTGTCTTGCACGTCACTCGGTCGTAAAAAAATTGCGACAGTATGCTAGAGAAGCGCCATAAAATAGACCTGCTGCCTCTGTATTCTAGCGTGATAAAGACTGCGACGCAAAATCGGCAATCAAAGCGTTTCCCAGAACGGTGCCCTCCAAATGTATAATTCCTCTATGAATTGAAATGACAGACAATCGGCACGTAATCCAATATAGGCGCTGAAATAAGAACGTCCCTGGGACTCTCTTGCATCCAGTTCTTGATCTTATGGCGGCAGACAGAAGCATTTAAAATATAAAGTTGGTGCTTTTTTACGGCATGATGCAATCCTACCTGGTTTTTGTTGTATCGCATGCGTTATTCTCGTTCACCGGTTCTGTAAGAAAGGTGTATGCTTAATGTTATTCTAGTACGCTAGAGTCGTGGTCAGGGTAAGCGTTAACGACAGGGGAGCGAGCTAAACATACCGGTGGCGCTGCTCCGACGCTATATGTTACACTATCAACCATACATAGCATTCGAAAACAATTGTAGTGCCTACCGCCATCTGACTCAGCCCATCCCTTTTGCGCGCTTGAGAAGCACTTCGATGTGACCCCGTGTTATCTAGCCGCCTTGACCCCGCTCTTGTCTGGCTTCGATAAAGTTATTTCAGTAGCCAAAGGTGATAACAACTAGATTCGCGCTGAGTAGCAGCACATGAGCATGCAACGGCGCTCAATTGTCAAGCGCAACCAATCTCAGTTAGATAGCATGCCGGAGCAACGTCGTTCGCACTCTGTCTCTCGTTCGTTGATGAAAACTCCTTTTGCATCGGGGCAGCGCCCTCAGCATATTACGGTCTCCACTCAGTCGTTTCAGTCTTTCAGCCTACCTTTCCCGCGACCATACTTTCAAACTGATCCAAACACCCACAACATTCCGTCAAATAAGGCTCTCGCATAGCATGACGTTTGGCGAGGGTGGTGATAGATAGTCCTGGTATACATCTCAAAGCTCTATATAATGCGTGAAAAAAGGAAAGACGTTGACAAATTTTTATAAGGCGAAATTAGAGCACAGCTCATGAGGAGGAAGATGGCAGGATACGGAGGGGAGGGTATGGCCCTCCTCCTCCTCCGTACCACCTCCTCCTCCCCTCCTCTTCCCCTTCTTTTTTCCTCCTAATTTCCTCCTCCTCTCCCCTCCTGCACGTTTTGTACTCCCTCCTCTTCCTCCCCTTCCTTCTCCTTTCTTCTCTCCTCCTCCTCATTTCATTCACCTCCTCCGTACCCACCCCTCCTCCTGCGTACCCTCTCGTCCTCCTATACCAAACCCTCCCCTCCTCCTCCATAGCAGCCCCTTCTTCCACGATTTGCCCGCTAAGTTTAGCTGAAAAATTGACGCCCCGTGACCTCAACACCAATTCAGTTTCCCCGCTAAATTTAGCGAGCAACTGAATTGGTGTTGATGTCACGTGACGTCAATTTTCGCGCTGAATCTAGCAAGGTTACGCCGACGCCGATGACGACGCCACGAAACACGGAAAGGGGCGCCTAAGAGCTGCGTTCAAAAACAAACAGTGTGAAAAATTTTTTTTTTAAATTTGTCAAACGCGTGAGTTATTACGCCAAATATACAAAACATGATGTTTGGCGTGGTTAGTGTTCGCTTCAATTCATGTTTCAAGAAAAATTTATAAAGGCCTTTTTTTAGGATGCATGAAAAGAGTTACTGGTTTGTTAAGAAATTAACAGGAAATATTCAACAAAGTGAGTGAATGGGCACTGGTATCTCATGTTCTGTAGATTCTCGTTCGTAAACTCCATTTCGGTTATCACGGCAAGTAGGCTCGCTTTAATGTTTAAACTGAGAGAAGGATGATGTAAAGACTGGGTTGATTGAGCGTAAGACTCCTTATTTATTTTTCATGTTAATATTTTTTTCGGAAAAGAGCGTTTTTAAAGTATCCAAATAAAATGCCCAAAATTTACAAGCTTCTCTTCCATTGGTAAATCGGTTTCTTTAAAAGGCAAGAAAGATTTTAAATACTCCAGCTGTACTCCTAATTAATACTTTCTTGAGTCTTGTCAATATTCGGCAGGTGCGCTTGAATTCAGATATCGTTATACTAATCTCGACATTATCAAGCACGTGGCTTATGTGACACGGTCAAACTAACATCGTAAAGCAAAGAACACACATGTCTCCTCTCGGACGGCAGAATTGCCTTTGTGACGTGGGCTGCACTAGAATCTTACTGAGCGGACCGCCCTTGTGGGCTATAAAACAGCGGAGCATGGTGTACGGTGTCCTAAGCCGTTGCAAGTGCGGTTGCCAAGAAAGTCCACCGATAAGCCGCGAATGAGCAAAAAGGCGTATTGCGACAATACATATCTGTATGCTCCTTTCTTCGCTGTGACGGAAGGCCACAGCGGCGAACTGTTTTACAACCAATGGCACAAAGCCTACCCTTGTGCGAGAATCCGGCATTGAAAGATGGAAAGTTGGACGAGTTGGTACGCTAACCTAAAAGCAAAATGGCGCGAAAGTACAACTGCCGAAGAACTGGAACTGACAGGACACAGCGCTGTCAATTTATAATGTAGGTTTGCATCAAATCAAACAGACGCTGCGTGACGATCTGTGAGCGTTTAATAGGTAAACACTATATTCGCTGCTGTGGCCTCTGGTTCAGGAGAGCAGAATATAAAAGTGACAACTAGAACAGTATGTAACTCAACAAATATTAAAAATGGGAAACAAAAAAGCGCTCTTGCAATCAGATATTAGAAAACACTGCGCACAAGTTCCAACGCCGGCACGTATGTTTGTGTTTCAGATCAGATGTTATAGAATAGCGTAGAAAATATCTTTGCACGCGCAAAGAAATAGCTTTGTCTTAACTGCGCAAGCGCCAAGCCCCATCTGCGTTGTAGATTGACGCGTGGCGACGACGGTTTCTCTAAGCACGATGCTTTGAAACTCGCAAATAGAGAGCACAGAGGTTAAAATGGCATACCTAAAAAAATTGAGTTCTTAAAAAAACAAAAATCGCGCTGATATTATGCTCCAGTCAAGAAGGCGGTTTGGGCTCGGTACATGCACAGGAGGGAGAAAGCTATTTCTATTCGTAAGCAAACCTAAGGGGGCGCTATTCTGCGACTTCCTAGTATTGCGAATAGAATCTCAACGCGAGCACTGTGTGTTTGTATTAGCGTTACGTGCACCACAGTGCGCTTCGCCATACACTGCGGCAACGCAGTAAGTTACGCGTGCGTACGCTAGCTATGAATAGTGAGTATTACTACTGTGTATACGTGCAACCGCAAGCACTCTCCACTTGCATTGACCTTGCGTGTTCCGCACTGCAAGTGCGCGGAAGCCCAAACTGCGCTTTCGATTGGCACATGGCGGCGACCCGCGCGTGAAGAGTGGAGCACGCAATGATAAGGCGAACGCACAGGGCATGCGTTTGCTCACACACTCTAAGAAAAAAGGGAGCGCGGCTTAGTCCCTCGGGGGACCAAATGTGCTGCCACCACCTTTAGTCCCGTAAGGGAGCAACTGTAACGGGAGCAACTGTTTTTTTTTATTACGTAGGGGGTTGCCTTTAGGCATAAATGTCTTATATGTATGCTACAAGACCTGTGGTATGGATGAATTGAAGCAATGTCTTGTGATAGTTGTTGTCATGCAGCCACTTATGGTAGCTGGTGGGTGCACTGTGTTTGGAGACCTGCAGCTGTAAGTAGGCGAGTGCGCTCAGTCTGTAGGCCAGGACAAGTCCATATAAGATGACGCACATCCGCTTCCGTCGCGTCTAGGGGACACTTGGGGCATGTCGCCCGTCGTGTGCCGGGTGGAGAGCTCCATGTGCAGGTTACAGCCGGTGTAAGGGCCACCCCAGCCCGCAGTCTCCGAAGCACAACTTCCTCCACCCTGGTGAGATGGCGGGGGAGGGAGCAGACACACGGGGGGATAAGAGCGCGTGTGTCCTGCCGGAGAGAGTGTTTACGGGCGTGGAGGAGGGAAAGGGGTTCGGACGGGAGGGGGAGGGGAGGGAGATCGGGATCAGATGGAAAGTGTGCCTGTTGATCAGCTGCAAGGTTGTATTGGTTCGTGGCATGACCTTGAATTCAATACACCTTAATGCAGGTCGAAGTATTGCGGTGAAGGGTGTGTATCCTTTGACACAGTTCCATTGCTTTGGAAACCTTTTTGAGCTCTCGAATTGCCGCTAAGGAGTCTGTAAAAATGTGAAGATGGCGGATTGTCGGCAGCTTGGTGGTCACTGCTTGTATGGCGTCGTGAATGGCCTGTAGTTCCATGACAAGTGGGTCGGCTTCCTGAGATGTATATCGCTGATGCCCCTGGATGCATGTGTGTGTGGAGCTGAGGAATGAGACTCGGCCACCGTCTGGGAAGATCGCTGCATCCGTGAAAACTTGACAGTGGTCGTCATGTTGGGTTTCGGGGCAGGGACGTTGGGAGGGTGTGCCCCCCTGATCGCGACGTCGTAACTTGGTCGGTTTGTTGGTGGTAATGTAGGTGAATTTCCATGGAGGTATCGTCTCCGACTGCACGTTCAGCGGGGGGCCACGTTGAAAATGCGCATGTAGCGCAGCAACCGCTGGTACAAACTGTTTTTTTAATTTCCCTTGCCTGTTCTCGCTGAGAGATGAGTTCCGTGATTGTGTTGAGACTCGCGTGTTCTTGTAGGGTTGGAATTGGAGTAATCCGAGGTAGCGCCGTGATGGCGCGCATTGCGTCACGATTAATGGTTTCCAATTGTGACCACTGCGCCGCCGTGAGTCGATGGAATTGCGCTTGGTAAATTATTCGCGGTTGCAAGATGGCACGCACCAGCCGTCGAGCAATGTCTGTACGGGCACCACCCGCTTTCGGTGCTATGCGTCGAATGAGATGGAGAGTGGTAGCAGATGTTTGCTTAATCTTTCGGAGCCATTGAGTTCCACTTCCTGACTGGTGTATATCCAGGCCCAATATCCGGACATTCGTAGTCTCAGGTATTGTTATAGCACCCAGCCTGAGTTGAAAGGGGGCCTGGGTAAATTTCTTACGTCCCGCCTTGTTTGCTACCACAACGTAGCTAGATTTTTGCGAAGAAATTTCCAGCCCGGCTCGTTGTGAATAACTCAGAAGAATGTCAAGGGCTTCTTGAAGTTGCTTGGCTTGCCTAGAGAGGTCCTTGTGAGTTGTCCATAATGTGACGTCGTCAGCATAGACGAGAAATTTGACGTCCAGTACCCGATGGAGTTGCCATGCCAGAGGTATAAGTGCAATGTTAAAAGGAAGCGGAGCCAAGACGGAGCCTTGGGGGACCCCCCTATTGGACGTAAAGCATCCTTCTTGTTGTCGATCCTCCCTTATAGCAAATGTTCGATTCCTAAGGAAGGAGTAAACAAATCGTGTGACCCGCG